TGGATAAATACTTTGGGTACACCTATCTATCAGTCAATGAGCATTTATTAAGCTCTTACTTTAAACCTTGCTAAGCAGTGGGCACACAGAGGCAAAAATAACACCCTACTCACATACTTAAGCAGCTCATATTATTTTACTTTTATATTTTATTTTCCCCAATTACATGTAAAACAATTTTTAACATTATTTTTTTTAAATGTTGAATTCTAAATTCTCTCCCTCTCTACTTCATTGAGAAGGCAAGCAATTTGATATAGGTTACATATGTGCAGTCATGGAAAACATATTTCCATATTAAGAGCTCACATTCTAATGGCAGAGACTACATGCATATAGCTGTGTACATGCAATTGGTGGCTACAGAGAGGTAAAAATTTGGGGCTTGCCTGCCAGGATTGAAAATCTAGTTGACTAATTGATATAGGTGGGCCAATCATGGATGTAAACACAGTCTATGAGGTCCTGTGCAAGACATTGAAATTCCAAAGAAAAGTGGAAGCTGGCAGATTAAGAATCAGAGGAAATGCACTGCAAGGAAGGCTGAGACAACAATTAATTGTCCAAGTGAAAAAGTGGTGGGGTTTGGTTTGTCATTGAGGGTGGGGGGAGGAGAAGAAGAAAGGAGGGAGAAGAAGTAGGTGACATCAAGTGAGGCCACAATGTTAAAAGACTATAAGCAAAAGTGAACAGAATTTCTTCTGGGACATAAATCTGCCTGAGAACAGACTTGGGACAGAGGCTGAGAAGGGGCTCATCCATTTTCCAGGCTTTGCAGGGACCTCTAACTCAAAGTCAATAATTGTTCAAGGACAGGGATGATAATAGATGATCAGGGAGTGACCTGCTTATAGAACAAGTGGGACTGGGGGTGGGCTGGATACTAATATTACTTGAATAAGAAGCAAATTTTGGTCCCCCTGCCCTCTGGGCTGCCATGTACACTAGAATCAAATTGCTAGCTCATTTAGACTGAGCTTCCTTAGTCTGACAGGTTTCTGGGGCAGCTTTGAGGATGCAAAAGCCCAAGGTTTCTATGGCTAGTTGAATAAGAGTTGCTCAGATATGCCCTATCTTGATGCATGTGTATGGATATGCAAATAAACATTTATCAACCATCTATTGTGTACCAGGTACTGTTGCTAAGCACTGGAGATACAATTAATGAAAAGAAACAGTCCCTGCCCTCAAAGATCTTACAATCTAAAGGAGGAGACAAAACACAACAGGGGGCAGAAAAGTCAGGGTGGTATGTGGAGGGTGGATACTACAGGGTATCTAGATCCATGGAGTTGAAACAAGACAGAGAAGCAGATGCAAAGTAGAATGAGCTGAGTTCAGTTTCTGCCCTCTCTAAAAGAAGGCATTGGGAAGAGTTTTGGTACTCTGCCCTCCAGACCTGCAACAAAGGGCATAGTGTACTAAAGGAGATGATTTCTGTCAAGGCTTGAGGTAGCAACTTTGTGGTGAGCATATCTGGAAAGATGCATCTTGTTTCATGGAGTTGAAACCAGTCAGAGCAGCAGATGCAAAGTGGAGAGAGAGAATGGAGGAAGAGGAGGAGGAGAAGAGATCTCCATGTATCCCTATAAATACACATACATATGTGTGTGCACATGTGTGTGTGTGTGTATATACACAGACACACATACATACATATATATATATGCATACATATAGCTATATGTATGGATATGAGTACATGTATGCATATATACACCTATATGTACATATATGTGTGCGCATGCCTTTTTAGATGTATGTATGCATTTTAAAACAGGCAACATATTTCTTTTTAGAACTTTTATTTATTTTTATTCTGAACTTAAACACTAGATAAAATGCGGATACATAGAACAGAAAAAGAGGATTGTACCTGAAACTCTGAATATCTATTATGTACAGCTTGCTTTTCTTTTTAAGTACATAATAAATTCAACCTGTCACTTTACAAACTGCTCTGCTTGTCTGTGAGGAACACTGGATTTCCTGTCCATTCTCCTTTAATGTTCTACATTCTAGAAAGGACAAAAGTAAATTCTAAAAGAATATTTCTCTCTGATTGATTTAGAATCAAAGAATGTCAGAACTGAGAGGGAACTTGGAGATCATCTAGGTCAGGGGTGGGGAACCTGCAGCCTGGAGGCCACATGCAGCCCTCCAGGTCCTCAAGTGTGGCCCTTTGACTGAATCCAAACTTCACAGAATATATCCCCTTAATAAAAGGATTTGTTCTGTAAAACTTGGTTCAGCCAAAAGGCCACATGTCACCTCAGGCCACAAGTTTCCCCACCCCAATCTATTCCAATTGCTAATTTGATCAGTTGCATCTGTTTCCTTCTCTTTTCACCCACCCAGCCTCCCAGGCTTGGTTACTCATCAATAATACTTTCATAATTAGTCTTCTGGCTTCCAGCCTCCTTCCTCTTCAATCCATCCTCTGCCCTATTGCCAAGTTGATATTCCCAAAATAAAAATGTGTCCTTATCACTCTTATACGGGGGAAAAAAAACTTTATTCATATTGCTTCTAAGATAGAATACAAAACCATAAAACTAGCATGCTGAGTTCTCCCAGTCATATTGTGTTATTCCTTCCTTCCAAATGTTCTCTCTTCCAGTTGAAATTGTCAACTAGTCAATCCCCATATATGTCATTCTTGGCTCACTAGAATTTTCCATGTCTGGAATTTCCTCACCTCCTCTTCTTAGAATCTGTAGCCTCCTTCAGGATTCACCCTTTAAAGTTTCCACCTCCTATGTCCTCTTCTTTCCTGATCCCCAAGGTCTGAGTCTTCTTCCTTTTCAGCCAGTCAACAAGCATTTATGAAGTAATTTACTTTCTACATATCAGTAATTAAGTACTAAATGCTTCTGCTAAAGCAAAAGCATGGTTTCTCTTGCTTTGAATTCTTTTGTATGTATTTTGTGAGAGGGAACCTGGCATAGTAAATGGTCTTGGAATCAGGAAGATGGGAGTTCAAGTCTCCTCCCTGGCACTGACTGTATGATCCTGGGCAATTCATTTAAGATCCAGTATCTTGGGCAATTCTTTAAGAGTATAAGTTGCAAAAAAGCAGATCTGGGACTGGTACCAGGAGGTTCATGATCAGGAATTCCTAACTCCTTCAATATCGTAGGTGAACCTAAAGTATCATCAATATAACAAGTTTGTGTTTATCACCTGAATACACATTACATTTCTCTTGTTAAAAAAAAAAAAGGACTCTTTCATTTTTGCTTTGTAACCCCAGTGCCTAGTACAGTGCTTCACACAAAGTAGCTGTTTGTTTTTTTAATGAAGATTTGCTAATATGATCCCATCTGAGGCCTTTACTTACCCCCATTTGATAGAGATTGCTTCCTTCGTGAAATTCCTTTATGTTTACTTACCAGTGTACATTTTTCATTCCCTGTAAACATGCGCTTCCTGGGGGCAAGGACTGTTCCCCATTTTTAGTGCCATTGCATGCCTCCAATCTACATTGATTTGCATGTAGCAGATTCTAAAACAATATTTGTTGCTTTGGGGAAGTTAAAGGCGGGAGAGGTTAAGGGATTTGCAAGAGGTCAGTACTGGGATTTAAAATCAGGTCTGATGACTCTAAGACCAGGACTTTGTGCAACTTTTTATATTTCCTAGAGGATTTCTTTCTTGGAGGATTTTACATGAAAATAGAAGAAAACTTGATGTAACAGAAACAAATGCATCCATAGATTCACAGATGAAGGCAGAATTGAATGTGCCCTGTTTTTGAGATTTAGGATAGACATATGTATTAATGTCCTATTGTCCCAAACTTTCTAAGGGATCATTTAGTCAGTTGCTGTCAATTTAAAACTGTATGGGCCCATTTAACATGTACCATTCTCATGACCCAAAGCCTCTAGTCTACTCACTATGCCTTATTCTGCCCACTGGAAGATAAGATACATTTTCACTCCCTTCTTTTTCTCCTGAAGTTTTACAAATGGAAATTCCCTGGAGGCCTTGGGGTAATCGCATAATACAGTGAAAAATAGGCATACCTATATTCAAATTTTATTTTATCATCTGCCATCTAGGTGAGATGGAAAAGTCACCACCCATTTTCATCTCAGTTTCTTCATCTGTAGAAAGGGATTTATGAAGTACTAGCACTTTAGAATTGGAAATGATTTATAGATGTCACCTAGCCCAACTGATCCCTGAAACATATATTTCCTGTCCAATATCCCCAGCACGTAATCATCCTGCCTTCAATGGTAGAAGACTTTATAGGGAGTCTGTCCTGTTTCTGAACAGTTCTAATTGGTAGGAAGCTTTCTTGCACTGAGCTGCAATATGCCTCTCGGTAATTTACATGTGTTATTCCTAGTCCTGTTCTCCTGTGCTCTTTCCTCTGCCTAGCTCTAAATCCTTCAACTAAGCTTCTTATGCTCTTGGTCCCCTACACTGACACACTGAGATTCTGAAACGAGAAAAGAGTGAGGATTCATGGAGCTGAGAACTGCAAAGAGGTAATACCCTCATTTTGATGATGAGGAACCTGATGCCGAACTGGCCCAAAGCCACCCAAGTGAGAAGAGGAGAAGCTGGCACACCAACCTACCAGTGAACAGATGATATAAAACAGTATTGTTAAATGGCTTGCTGTGATAGTCCATGGGAGGGCCAATCGCCTGAGCATGTGTGAAGCAGACCTTTAGGAAATAGTATCTAGTAGTATACAAGCTTCTTGAAGGTCTAGATCAGCTCACTTTTGTCTTTGCCTCTCTGGTATCTGGCATAGTGCCCAGCACATGGTAGGTGCTCAATAAATGCCCATTTGCTTGAGTCAGATTGCTAGAGGAGAGGAATCGGAGCATCAGGTCAACCTTCCAACACCCTCTATTTGACTTACTGTGTCTCAATCATCTGGCTGTTCATGGATGCACAGGAAGCAAGATTCTATTTCAGTTTATTGCCTGATTCCAGAATGATTTTGGTCCTCATTAAATGTCTCTTTTTATGCTCAACAGCTTCCAGACAAGAAGGTATCTTGGACAAATTTCAAGGCAAGAGAAAGTGGGTCTCCTCATCCAGGATGTCATCACATTAGCCTTGGAGCTGAGCAGGATTGTTTATCCCCTCGAAAGAATGCAGCGCCTTCCTTGATGTAACCCTTTATCGCCCATGGGCCTGTTGTTAGATGTATGTTTCCATCAGAATGACTGACAGACCCTTTTTCCCTACGATGGCTTTACTCGTGCCCATTTTCCCCCTGGCTTTGCAGTTTAGACTGGCAGCTGTCCCTGGTCCTGCCTGGAAATAAAGCATTTGTTAAAATGTCTGTGATGTGGTCGCTCTGTTAGAAAGCTCTTCTCCCTGTGCTACTTATTACTGTCCAAAAGGTAACTACAGAAGTCAATCTCTTGAAGCTATTGTACTCTCTGCAAAAGCAGAGCTTTGTTACAGGCTAGATAAGATAAACCTGAAAAGAAGAGCACCAGTTGGGCCAGATGAGATGTGGGGACAGGAAATGCATAACCTTTCTTAAAATCTCATATTCCTCTCTTGCTTCTAATGGGGTGATTCAGAACCCCAGGATCTGAAGAAGGCACAATCATACAATATGCTTGAGGAGAAAAATGAATGCAGAGGGATTGGGGACAATAAGAAGGAAGGAAGGTGCCCTTACCCCCATCTCACATGCCACATATAACTTTCATGGCCGTTTATTCTTAAGCACTCACTACACTTGCACCATAGATGAAATGGTTAATGGCAGAATTCCTTAAGTGGGAAACACTGATTATAGAGTCAGAGGACCTGAGTTCAGATTCCCCTCTGACATTTACTCCCTTTGTTGACTGACTGACTAACCTTAGGAAAGCCTCATAACTTTTTCTGTAAAAATGAAAGGGTTTGACTGAATGATCTTTGAGGCACCTTATGGATCTAAATCAGGGATTCAATGATTTCTTTCTCCAGTGTGTTCTAAGAGACCAGAGGGAAGGGCAGGAGAAAGATAAAACAAATAAATAGCATTACCATAATGAAACTGGAAATGAACCCTGCCTTAAAAAAGAATTCTGTCTCAAATAACTCTGCTCTATCTACTCCCTACCCCATGCACTGTGGTTTTATAGCTTAGTAAGATAATTTATTCAGAGGTAGCTTGGCATAGAGCTCTGTACGTGGAGTCAGGAGTCCTTGGGAAACAGACACGGACTTGTTATGTGATCATGGATAATGATGCAAAGTCCTCAGAGTATTTATTGGTGCCCACATCTGCACTATGTGCATAATAAGGTGAATACTGTCAACTTCAGAGGTATAGATAGATATACTTCAGAGGTGTTTACATACACACACACACACACACACACACACACACCCTCACACATAAAATCTGCTTACCCTTCCACCTTCCATAAAACGTAAATTCCTTGAGGGCAGGGACTATTTAATTTTTGTCTTTGTATTTCAAGGGCAGTTAGGTGGTGTAGTGAACACAATGCCAGGCCTAGAGGCAGGAAGACTGGAATTCATATCTGGCCTCAGACACTAGCGATTTAACTGGGCAAGCCACTTAACATTTTTTGCCTCAGTTTCCTCATCTGTAAAATGAGCTGGAGAAGGAAATGGCAAACCACTACAGTATCTTTGTCAAGACAACTCCAAATGGGGTCACAAAGAGTTGGACATGCCTGAACAATAGATACCTAGAATAAGATGAGTTAAGCGGTGGCCCTAAAAGGTGACTTGAATTCTAGGGGCAAGGGCACTTTTGTTGTGGGGACAATGAGAAGCCATTTGGTGTAGACTTATGGTATTTGTAAGTGAACCCTGGGCCAAATGCACAGAATAGGCAAGTTATTAATTCTGTGCATAGTGCCCAGGGTCACAGAGCTAGTAAGGATCTGACATCAGATTTGAACCCACAAAGATGAATCTTCCTAATTCCAAGCCCAGTGCTCTATGCACTGAGCCACCTATCTGCCACCTACCTGTAACCACAAAGTAAGCTCCCACATCTTCTTTTGGCTCCTATAATTAACACACCAGAAAATCTGCTGTCTCTGCAAGTCAAATGATTCATTAAATCAATATAAGATGGAACACGGGAAAAGGTGAGGCCACACAGGTGACTCCCTACAGAGTAAGAGGTGTATTGAATATTTTAATGAAAAATCTCTTTCTTACTCAGAAGATGAGGGAAAAAGCTTGCTCCTGAGTAATCTGCTAGTCGAGAATAAGAAGGAGAGACAGAGACAGAGATAGAGACAGAGACACAGAGAGAGAGAGACAGAAAGAGACAGAGACAGAGACACAGAGAGACAGAGAGAGGAGAAGAGAAGAGAAATGAACCAGAAAACAAGGAATGGTAAGAATGTTAATTTTAAAATCTAAAACCTCGAGGCAGCTTATCCTTAGACTTGGAGAAGGTAAGTGCAATTCTACTTCCTGAACCCTGATTTTTCCCAAAGGATATCTATTAACCTAGAGAATTTGATTATTGCAGTTGGCTTGATGGAAGATGCTGTAAGATGGGAATTAAGCTTCGTTGGTTAAGGTCTGTGGGCTGCCTCCCACAACTACTGGTGTTCAGTGTTTTCTCTGATTATTGAGGGTACTGGGAAATTTGAAAACTATGTTTAACATGCAACAATTAAAGATAAAGCCTTCAAGAGAAGAAATCAAATTGATGGGCAAGCTGTCAGGTTTGCTTAGAGCTGTTGGTCCTATTAGGGTTTGTTGCTAAAATTTTAAGGTTGCACATTCCTTCTACCCTCCATAAAATAAACATGAAATTATAGCATCAGAGATTTAGAGTTAGGTGGTAGAAGTCATCAAGTCCAACCCACTGACTTTAAAGATGGGGAAACTGAAATTATAGTGGTGAAGTGACTTATCCACAGACACACACCAGGTGAGAACCATCTGGCAGGAGCCAAGAGAGAAGTTTCCAGGAAGAATTAGGAATGTCAAAATCAGAAGAGAGATCAAGGAAGATGAGAACCGAGAAAAGTCATCATGTTTAATTAAGGAATCACTGGTAATCCTGGAAAGAACAATTTCAGTTCTAGAGTGAAGTGTGAAGGCAGATTGAAATGGATTGAAGAGCAAATAGTGAAGAAAAGGGAATTAATGCAAACAATTCTTTCTAGGAGTCTGGTTTTGAAAATGAGGAGAGATAGAAAATCATGACTGGAGGGAAACCAGGACAATTCAGTGAAGGGTTTTTTGGGTTGTTGTTGTTGCTTAGATAGGGGAAAACTGAGCAGCCTTTTATTTAGGATGGGGGTAGAGGAGTCACCAGATAAAAGAAGACAAAAAGATTTTAAAATGTATTTTTTGTGTATATTTGGTTACACCTGGAATTCTTTTATTAGCAAAGAGAAGTCCCTCTACCAAAGCAGACAATCAATTTCTCTGCAATTTACAGTCTTAGAATTTCCTTCCATAATCAGAGCTGAAATGATTTGCCCAAGGTCACACCAATGTGCCAGGAATCATCTTAGTGCTCTGAACAGCTTTCTAAGACCTGTAAAGATGGTGGCAGTTATCTGGGGAGCAGTTTCCTCACCTATGAGTTCCCCATACAAAGGAAATACAAAGGAAATACAAAGGCTCAGGTCCTAATCCCTAGTTACTGTTTCCAAAGCACTTTTCATACATCATCTCATTTGATCTTTACATTAGCCCTGTGTAGTACCACAAATGTCATTATCACATTAAGGAAGTCTTAGGTTTTGGCTAACTATATCTATCTACAAAAAAACCCAGAACCTGGCAAGGCAGTAGAAGAGACAATAATTTTATCCCTGAGCTTAGTTTTGTGTCTGTTTCTTTCCTCTGCTCTCCCATCTACTTGGGACAGCAGGCATGGTTTGGCATTGAGAAACATTGTTCAGTCATGTTCGACTCTTCGTGACTCTATTTGGGGTTTTCTTGGCAAAGATACTGGATTGGTTTGACATTTCCTTCTCCAGCTCATTTCACAGATGAGGAAACTGAGCAAACAGGGTTAAACAACTTGCCCAAGGTCACACAGCTAGTAAGAAGAGACTAGATTTGAATTCATGTCCTCCTTAATCCAGGCCTGACATTGTACCTAGTGCACCAACTAGCTTCCCATCTGTTGAGAAATTAGGGGACTCCAAACACCAGGGTATTTGGTTATTTACTGGATGAATAAGACTATATGATATTTCATCAGAGCCAGGGTATTCTAGCTTCCAGAAGTATAGGATGACCTCCATTAGCTAATGAGGTCACCAGCTAAGATCCACGTCTAGCAACTAGGAAGCTTGGTTTGGACCTGAGCCTTCACAGCACAAGATACTTAGAGGTACTTAAGAATAGTACCTTCCACAGACCAAGGCAGCATGCAGCTTGTCTAGACACTGCCTCTCCACCCCCAAAGTCAGACCCTGCACCCTGGCCGAGCCCAATGGAGCCCCTGCCACCTCTTGGCACCAAAAACAGAGCTTCCAGACCTTGTAGATGGGAGCTTCAGACACTTATGGAGCTGCCCTGAGACCTGCAGTAGACACTCGTACCTGCCCTTACTCTGTTGAAACTGATTCGGGCACCCTCAGAGAACACTTGAAAATCCAGCCACTTACAGAGACCTGAAGCAGGACTTCTCCTTAGCAGTAAGGAATCATGCCTACCCACTGACAAAAATAAACCCCAGGACACCACCCTAGCCCATTCAAATCAGAATTGGGCACCACCCACTCCCCCTCTCTCCCCTCCTCTCTCTCCTTTCTCCCCACCTACCAATTAGAGACTGACTCAACTGCTAAAATGGGCCCTGCACCTGAATCCCAGCCTCTTAGACGCCATGATTCCCAAACACCACAGCAAGTTCTCAGAGTCCCAGTTAGCCTGGGTGTCTTGTTTCCTGCCTGAAACATGGCTTAGAGAGGAGGTCTTGAGAGACCCCAGGGGCTTTGGGTTTGGCCCATTGGGGATGACTTCATCCCCTAAGCAATTACCTCTCCTTGGTCTGCAATGGCTTCCCCCAACTTTCCTGAAGCATGTCACAAAGAGAAACTCTTTAGCTGCACCTGTCTCCCTTCACCATTCTACCTGAACCTTTCCTCATTGACCTGTCCACTTGAGGACACCAACCCTGGGATTTCAGTACTGCAGCTTTAAGCCCTGCCTTCCCATTGAGGCAGACCCAAGACCCAGCAGCAGGAAATCCTAACATTTCCCAGCCTGCTGAAACTGACCAGAACCCCAAAAGACTTGACCAACCCTCCTGCATACTCTGCAGAATCTTCATATACACTGATTGGACAACAAATAAATAGGTAAATACCTCTTCCCCACTCA